TTTTGACATCACATCTCTGCAGTGGGTTGGACTGTAGGGTAGTACTAACAGAGTGGTGAGAACTTCCTCACATTTAGTCTCATTGAAACCCCCCAATGCGCTGGCATCTCATACTGAAGCAATGGAGACACACCTCAAGGTACCCCCTCAAGAGTCAACACCAAAAATAATAAAGAATAGCCTTTAATTTGCTTATTTTCACAATTTAATGAATGTAAACAACGAATTTCAAGACGGTGTCCGCCATGTTTGTTGGCAATCGAAAGTAGACACTAGTCTTGATTGTCACACTATCAAAGTTTAGTACACGATGAAGTCTCGATTGTCATACAACGTAAATTTTAAGAGGTCAAACCGCCCCAATGTCATTTCGTCCCTGGTAAATACATTTGTCTTGAAACGACTCGACGGCATTTAGACGGTTTGTACCATACGAAGAGGTAGTTTGAACAACCGACCATGTTTGCAAACGCAAATGATGAAAGGATTCGCAAGTTTTATTAATTTGTTCATGAGACCCCGTGGCGAAGTGGTAAAGGGGGCGAAATGACGTGAAACTACCTTTATTGACTCTTAAATCTGAGAGCTAGTAACAGGAAAAGACAACTCAGTCCATACTAAGCCGGCTGCAGACTACAAATAACTCACAAATTGACTTGTTTTACTCTATTTTGCTAAATAAAAATAAAACTAATAAATCTTGCACAAATTGAGATCTTTTTTTTTACATGAAACTAGATTGAAGAGCTGTCTATTGTTCAACTGAACAAGCGTAAAGTGTGCCAGAGTCACTGTCAAAGTGTGGTGTCTTGATGTGTTTAAAAATATGTTTGACATAAGCAACAACTAAGTCAAACCTGACTGGCAAATAAGATTACACACATCCCTAAACCACTGTTTCATTTTGTAGGGAATGAGGCACTTTTTTAAAGGAAGACGTAGGCTTAATTATTTTTTTTTTTTTTTTTAATTCATTCTGTTGCCATTTTTTGTTTTTGTCAAATTTTTTTTCTAAATATAAGGAGCATAATTCTTCGGCCTCTTTTCTTTTTTTTTTATGTCTTGATCAACATTTCTGTGGTGTGTAGAAAATGAGAGAAGACACTGCCGTGGTTTTCACTGTCTGGTTTGCGTTTGTATAAATTTTCGGTTTAGCTATGATTTGCGGAATTCAGAAATGAAATGAATGGAGACTCACATTTCTGCAGCTGCCTTCAATTTTGTTTGAGATGAAATTGTCGCAGGGACTTGGTGGTTGCTTATATCAAACATATTTTTAAACAAATCAAGACTCCACACTTTGGCAGCGACTCTGGCAGATTTCATGCCTCTTAAGTCTAACACTGGACACCTCTATAATCTAGTTCCATGTATAAAAGATTTGAATTTGTGGTAGATTCGTTAGTTTTCCACGTAATTAGCAAAATAGATTCAATTAGCTAGTTAATTGTAGTCTGGAGGCGGCTTAGTATGGACTGAGTTATCTTTTCCTGTCGCCAGCTCTCAGATTTAAGAGTCAATAAAGGTGTTTTAACGTCACTTCGCCCCCCTTTACCACTTCGCCCCAGCGCCTCATGAAAAAAATGATAAAACTTGCGAATCCTTTAATCATTTACGACTGCACACATTTTCAGTTGTTCAAACTACCTCTTCCTTTGGTAAAAAGTGTCTAAAGATCGTCTTAGAGTCGTATCAAGACCAATTCATTCACCAGGGACGAAATGACATGGGGCGGTTTGGCCTATCAAAAAGTTACACTGTGTGACAATCGAGACTTGATCGTCTATCGAGCTTTCGTAGTGTGACAATCGAGACTAGCCTCTACTTTCGGTTGCCAACAAACATGGCGGACGCAGTCTTGAAATTCTTTGTTTACATTCATGAAATTGTGAAAATAAGCAAATTAAAGTCTATTCTGTGCAATTTCTTGTCTTGGTTTTTGAGGGGATACTTTGAGGTGTGTCTCTATTGCTTCGGTATGAGTTGCCAGTGCATTGGGAGGTTTTAATAGGACTAAATGTGACGAAGTTCTCACCGCTCTATACTGCAGTCCAACCTGGTACAGAGATGTGATGTCAAAACCAACTGCAGTCAGCCCTTCCTGTCCTACGCTGATCTTTCTCCATGCAATGACATATTTACCAAGCTACAAAATTGTAGTCTGAGAGACAGCATCCCTATAAACGAGATCAAAGTATGGTTATCTCGAGCCACACTGACACTGGAACTGAAGGTCTTGCAGAATGAATAGAACCGTGGCAGATAACTGCAGTAATGACCTATCTGTCCAGTGCCCAGCACCAGCTGGGATAGCATCTCGCAATGACGAAAAAGATTACTGCAAACAAATCCAAACTGAAAGTAAAATACACCAGAGAATGATCAAACCTGGTCGCATTAAAGAATTCATCTTAAAAGAATTTAACATTCATTTAGATAACAAAAAGACATTTATCAGCAAAATTATTTTCTATAATTGAACAGAGCTGATAGACCTCTTTTTGTCTCCTTTCCAAATGACCTAGTAGACTCTAGATTTTCATACAAGAAAAAGCTCTAAATTCAACAGGCGCAGTCTCTCGAATGGAACAATAAAACCTTTGCCCAGTGTGCTACAGGCTGCGCGTGTTAAAGATCCCTCAACAATTCAATCTCCAACAAACTTGTAGGCTACTGTCTGTGTGGTGGCCAAATTTCCCCTATTGCACACTGCATGGTGGGCAATATAGCCCGTCTTCATTAGCAGCTGCAGAAATGTACGCCGTAAACTCGCCATTCATTTCCTGTCTGAGTTCCGCAAATCATAACAAAAATCATT